TGGCGATGGGCGGGCAGAACCTCCTATATTAGGAAGGGGTTAATTGAACACTTTAAGTCAGTTCAAGGGCCTATTTGACCCTTTAGCCTAAAACTTAATAGTCCATACTCCCATTGGATTGGGATTTGAGAAAGATGAGGCTCAACAGTCAATACTCTTATTAGATATTGAAATGTTTGAATGAAAGTGAAAAGTACATCTGGATGCTTCAATTTTTTTTAGAATCAGCTTTTTAGAAACCAGTGAGAGACGAATTTCTACAAAATTTGTTCTGATTATGTTTCTGCTTTTAAAAAAGAAGCAGAAGCAAAATCAAATTCCAAACATTCTCAAGGTAGTGTTTGCAAACAATTAAAAATTTATTTCAGTTTTTTGCTTAAAAATTGAAATGAATGTTTTCAAGCGACAACTTCTACTTAAGTTAAACATTTAAAAGCTAAAAATTGGATGTGCTTTTATTGGTTTTCGCTTTTTGTATTACACAAAAACACGTATTTTGCCAAACTCTAGTGGCTTTTACAATTAAGCACTTTTTTCTAAATCACATTTTATTCTAAAAACTTATAAACACCAATGAAAGTAAGGGCATGAATGGTATATAAAAAGTGTCGGTATAATAGTAAAGTAAGGCATGGTTGGCCTCCAAGCTTAATCAATAGTACTCTCAATTTTTACTCATCATAAACCTTCTTAACTCCGTCAAAACGTTCTCTTTTGGATTGATAGTTGCTCCGTTTTGTTTCACTGAAGCTCTTTCGCATTTCATATTAATTGCAATCATTTATTGTGATTAATAGGATCTTTAGCTGGTGACTGACTTTATTATTATCCAATGTCATTAGTTTTCTTTTCGTTTCGACTCTAACCATTAGACTTAAGTTGATTGAGTTTTCTAAAAAATGATGAAAGCCAACTTTTTCTTAGCTTTCAGGTACACTAACTTAGAGAATAATTGATAAAGCAAATTATTATATGTAAAAAATTCTTAAGAGCATAATTTGTACTTCGTATTTATCGAATAATCAACATTAAATTATATAAATTGGAGGATGATACAGTAGTGATGCTAAAGTTCCAATTTGTAGTTTTATTCAGAATGATAAGCACATTAATTAATTACATTATGAGTTTGTTTGGTAACACTGAAATCGGCGGAATCGGCTGATTCTGCTGAAACTTCTGAAGTTCTGAGTGTATTGGCTGATTCTGTTGATTTATGAAATTATATTTAAAATATATTTTATTGATAAAATAAAGAAAAAAAAGATGCGAAAATAGCTAAAATGGTCATCTACAGTAACTTCATCCAATACATTCAGAAAAGTGAAAAGTAACTTTAACCTTGCTTTTTCTTATTATTACATAATTCAGGAAATCAAAAGTTACGTGTTTGATTAAAAAGTTGACTGACAAGTTTGATAAACCGAAAAGTAGAATCACCAAACGGGCTCTATATTGTTTTTGCACAAAACTTGCACTAAAAAAGCTTTTGTTGGGGTGGTTACTTACAATTCAACCATGTAAACAACATATATTTATCATCTGCCATATTTAATTCAATCGTGCGCACTTATTAATGTGTAACTTTTATTAATTGTTGCTTCAGTGTTTTAATCGTAGGTAAAAAATAAAGTATTTCATGAGAAAATTGTTTTTTATTTGAAAAAAGTATGTAACTTTACAAATGAACTCCATGTGGGGTGGCTTAGTGAGGGATGCCCTTATGATATGTTTGTTTTGAGACACAGGTGGATGTTCAAGGAAATTGAAGGGAAGCTAAAAATATATAGCCTGTGTAATTGGCTAATTGATCTAAATTAAATATGATATAGGATATCCTATCTTTGAAAAGGTGTTGCTCTTTCGACATGATCACATTTGTACAATCCACAAATCCTAGATTGTAACATATGTCTTTTGCGCATATTACATAACATTGTGATTGTATCATAAGGCATTATATTTATAACAAGGTGCATGTGAGTTTAGCATTATCTATTTGTTTTTGGCACTCTAATCATATCTGCATTCTATATCTTTAAAACTTATAAGTGGCATGTAAAAAGTGTTGGTGTGATATCAAGTTTATATATAAGATTCAGCCATTGTGTAGTCATATTTCCATGAAGTGCACTCTCTCCCTGTCAAAAGACATTATATCTCCTTTATTTCACTGTTGCATGTTCCATTTTTTAGATTGGGTTTGACGTAATTCTACATGAGTCCAGCTCCTCTCCAGTACATACGGTACTGGACATCTCCATTAGATTGATTAGAGAGCTGCCACATGGGTCACTTACTAAATGAGGGGTCAGGATAAAAATTTGATGATATACTGTTCCAAATTCCTTTTTTAATTGCTATAGGAAGTTAGGAACGACACTACTCTTTTCTGCTCGAACCATCTCTAGAAAAAACACCTACACAGAGTAACCCTAGCTAATTCTTCACTGCCTTTGCTCTTGAGATTTAGTTTTTGATTCTGCAGTAGGGAAGATGGAGAAAGAATGTTCTCACCTCTACACCAAAAAAACATAATCTCTTTCTTTTTCAAGAACCAAAGGCCAGATTGCTTTTCACCATAACTGAAGGTACGTATGTGCTCATGTTAAAAATCTCAACAATCTGGACAATCCATTTTACATTATTTCGTGTTATACTTGGGTATTTTGATTAAATTGAATTTCTGGATAATGCAAGTTAGACGCAGTCTACATTAATAAATTAACACTCTTCTTCAATTTTTGTTATGTTTTGATTGCCTCATTTATTTAGAAACTGGACAGGCCATATATGTATATTATTGGAAATCGGTGATTTTTTGTTATGCTTATGAATAAATTCTCAGAAACTTTATATCTCTATTTATAATTTTAATTTAAAATTAGAATATGTTGAAATTGCTTGTTTAATGCTTACTCTTTTCACAGAATTCTGTAGTTGGAAGCTCATCAAACATGGATGCTTCATCAACTCCAATTGATGGAGTAGAGAACTGGGTTAATAGTATTCATTCTAGTAGCACACAAGACGTTCCAGAGAGGGATAGTTCACATATACCACGTCTGGGTATGGAGTTTCAATCTGAAGTAGAAGCATATGAGTTTTATAATGCATATAGTAGGAGGTACGGATTTGGCATTCGTCGAGAATATGGAAATAAAAGCAAAAAGGATGGAATATTAACCTCAAGAAGATTCTCATGTTATAAAGAGGGCACACGAGGTACAGACAAACGAGATAACTTGACAAAAATTCCAAGGGCAGAAACTAGAACCGGATGTCAAGCACGAATGGTTATTTCACTTGATAGAAAGCTAGAAAAGTACAAGGTCAGTGACTTCGTAGATGAACATAATCATCCTCTTCAACCTCTTGATTATGTTCACATGATTCGGTCTCATCGTCACGTGTCTAAGGCACAAGCATCACAAATTTTGTTGGCCGATGCTTCTGGATTAAAGCCAAGAGATTTTCATACATATGTGTCACAACAAGCAGGTGGAGTAGAGAGTATTGGTTATACAAGAAAAGACCATAGAAATTGTCTTCGAACAAAAACAAAACAATCTTTGGAGTATGGTGAACTTGGTGCATTGATGATGTACTTCAAAAGCAAGAGTGAAAATCCTTCATTCTTTTATGACTTTCAAATGGACGTTGAAGACCAGATAACTAATATTTTCTGGACAGATGCACAAATGATAAATGATTATGGATATTTTGGGGATGTTGTCTCATTTGACACGACATATAAGACAAACAAGGAGTATCGACCGTTGGGAGTATTTGTGGGACTCAATAATCATAGAAAAACAGTGATTTTTGGAGCAACATTGCTATATGATGAAACTATCCCTTCATTCCAGTGGCTATTTGAGACGTTTTTTAAGGCCATGAGTGGTAGAAAACCAAAGACGATTTTCACTGATCAAGATGCAGCAATGGCTAGAGCCATTTGTGTTGTGATGCCGGAAACATTTCATGCATTGTGCACGTGGCATATTAGAGAAAATGCACTTAAGCATGTGAACCATCTATACCAAAAAAGTTTGCATTTTTGCGCTGATTTTGAAGCATGCATTGATTTGCATGAAACAGAAGATCAATTGGAGAATGCGTGGAGTGCTCTACTTGTTGATAATGATGTTTGCAGTGACTCATGGTTGCATACCATTTTTTTGGTGAAGGAAAAATGGGCTTGGGCCTATGTTCGGAAAACGTTCACCGCGGGCATGAGATCCACTCAATTGAGTGAGAGCTTGAACGCTGACTTGAAAAGTCACTTGAAGAGTGATTTAAATATAGTGCGGTTCTTTACCCACTTTGAAAGGGTAGTAAATGAAAAAAGGCAAAATGAAGCAGAAGCCGAATATGAGTCTGTACACAAGCTGCCCAGATTTAAAATGAAGAAGGCTCCTATGCTCCTGCAGGTTGGGGACATTTACACTCCTTCCATATTTGAAGAATTTCAAGAAGAGTATGAGGAATTTCAAGGGGCTCGTATTAGACAAGTCAAAGACAATTTGTTTGTTGTCACAGATTATGATGGTGCCAAACATCGATTGGTGATGTGGAGTCTTACGGAGCAAGCAATTGCATGTGAATGTCGTAAATATGAGACACATGGTATTTTATGCAGCCATGCTTTGAAAGTTTTGGATTTCATGAATATTAAGATCATTCCTCAACATTACATACTCAAGCGATGGACAAAGGAAGCAAGATTGGGAAGCAATCGTGATTTTAATGGAAAACATATTGAGTTGGATGTCAAAGCTCACTTTATGAAGAGATACAACGAGTTGTGTCCCCGAATGGTAAAATTAACAAATAGGGCATCTGAATCTCATGAAGCTTACACCTTTGTGTCTAAAGTGTGTGAAGAGTCTACTAGAATTATTGAAGACATGTTGGCAAAAACGTCTCTGTACGAAGAATCAAGTGGCGGGTGTCATGTTGCTATATTGATGGGATCTAGAAATATTGAGACAAATGTCAACGTTATTGATCTTGATGGTCCCAAAGGCATAAAGAAAAGGGACTGTTCTAATAAGGCAAAGAAGCGGCCTAAATCTTGGGTGGAAAAATTAGCAAGAAAGAGAAAGGCAAATGGAGTGCAAAAAAAGAAAAAAGAATCAACAGATTTGGTAAGATACTATTTTTATTATAAATTTATAAACGTTTTTATAGATTGTTTTTTGTTAAAGTTTGCAAGTTCTTGTTTTTGTAGGAACCATTTGCACCCAGAACTGGACTTGTCCAGCAACAGGCTTCATACTCACTTTTACCTGATATGCACCAACCATTGGGACTTGTTCCCATGACTAATTCACATAGTGATTTCATTTCTGTGGAAGAGCACTTTGGAGTTGGAACTGAAGTCATTAATCCTAACCAAGATCCAAACAGAAGTGTATATTATAACTTTGGGGCTGCAAATAGTTATTTTTGAGAAGAACTGCAGATTAAGAAGAACTCGTTGGTTGATATTTTTGGGGTAGGAAGTTGTTGAATTTGGAGCTTCTATTTTTTTTGCTAATTTTGATGTAATAGTTGCAGATAAAGGACTTGGCTTGTTGATAATTTGGGGTAGGAAGTATTTGAAAGTTGCAGATAATAGACCTGGCTTGTTGATAATTTCGGGTAGAAGTATTTGAATTTGGAGCTGCTCATTTTTTTTTTGACTAATTTTGATCTAATAGCAGTTTGGCCGCTTATGTTTAATTGAAGGTTGAAATTTTTGTTTTGTTCATTAATTTACATTACAGATAGCAGTTCGAGTCTTTGGTGATTATTAAACAACGAGCTTTTAAAAAAATAGACATTAAAGTGTTGCTGGTTACTTTTGCACTTTGGTGTTTGTTTCTTAGAGTCCATTTCATGAATTATTTGTAGCAGAGTTCATAGCAAATGGAAAAGAGAAGAAATTGAAATGAGTAAAGAAAAAATGAAAAGGAATGAGTCAAATAAATACTCCGACGGTAATAAGTAAAAGACTCAGGTGCATCAAGCAGTTAAAAGAATGAAAATGAAATCTGGACTTTTGATTGAATAAATAGCCATGTGGCAGCTCACTATTTAATCTACTGGAACTGTCCAGTTTCGTATGCACTGGAGAGGAGCTGCACTCATTTTACATCTGTCTCACTAATATGCACACAAGGAGGTGGTGCGGATATTAAGAAAAATGAGTTCATGTGGTTCATATTGAATTAATGAAGTATAAATAAAGTAAGAATTTTTAGAATCACACAAATTTTATCAAGTTTGATATTAGATAATTTTAGTGGGACAAACCGAAAAGAAAAGTTGAGATAATCTTAGCGGGACGAAGGGAATAATTAATTACTTATCATATGATTCTCTTCAATTTTGCATTCATTTTTTCCTTCTATAAATATCATTTTTGTAGTCACTGAAACAATAGCCAAATGTTTAAGTTATAAGATCTCATTGGGCATTGTTCGGGAAACTAGTTTTAGAATACTACCTCCGTATAGGTAAAAAAAAAAAAGAATACTACGTAAGTGCCAAGAACCCAAATTTGCAAATAGAAATGCAGGAATTTCCATCTAGTGAGAACAGTTGCAGAAACAAATCCAATATTCCATGTCAGCATTGGAAAGCCATAGATAAGAAACCAATCACCACACTCACTCCTCTCTCTATTCTTTCTTCTTCGCCTCAATAAGGAAATGGTGCTCTGTCACACTTTAGCAGCGCACCCGACGTATAGCGCGCCCTTCTCCGCCACCCCGCGCTCTTCGTCTCTCAAGTTTCTGCTCCCATGTCTCTCTGCTCCTTCTCTAAGGTCGTCGAGACGACGCCACAAGCTTCGCCGGAGAGTCATTTCGGGTGTAGCAACTCTGGACTCCGGAAATGGAAGCGCCATTGCTTTGCCTGAAAAGCCGGCTTCTGACAATTCCTCTTTCGGAAGGAAGTACTTCCCTTTAGCTGCCGTAGTAGGACAGGTATGTGTTTGTTGGAGTAAATGGATGTAAATACCAAATACTTGATGATCTAGCCGTGTGTTGTCAACTACAGTAGCAGACCTTCTTTGTTCTTCCCTATCTGTTCTTGTTTTAGTGTTATACTGTTATGAATCCATTACATGCTCAGGATGCCATCAAAACTGCTCTTCTACTTGGAGCTATTGACCGTGAGATAGGAGGAATTGCTATATCTGGGAAACGCGGGACTGCGAAAACTGTGATGGCTCGTGGATTGCATGCAATTCTGCCTCCAATTGAAATAGTTAAGGGCTCAATTGCAAATGCCCATCCTGACTGCCCAGAAGAGTAAGTTTAGAATCAAATAACTAAGGCCATGCTTAACCAAACATTCACAGAATCACAGTGCTGTAACAGAAACATTCACTTTAAAGCAGTTTTAGCATAATTGCTTCAAGGTTTTAAATCCGTTCAGTTCCATGAAGGTGGGAAGATGGACTTGCTGATAGAGTGGAGTATGACTCTGCTGGAAATATCAAGACCGAGATAGTTAAATCACCTTTTATTCAGGTTTCTTATTAGTAGACCCCTTTTCAAATTTTCATGGAGGCAGCTGTTTCTTTCAAGTTTCAAGCATCTTTAGAGTTGAACTTGTCTTGCAGATCCCCCTTGGTGTAACTGAAGATAGATTGATTGGATCTGTTGATGTCGAGGAGTCTGTGAAATCCGGAACAACTGTTTTTCAACCTGGACTTCTAGCAGAAGCTCATCGAGGAGTTTTATATGTTGATGAGATCAATCTACTGGATGAAGGCATTGGCAATTTACTTCTGAATGTGTTGACAGAAGGAGTTAATATTGTTGAAAGAGAAGGCATAAGCTTTCGACATCCATGTAAACCTTTGTTAATAGCTACATATAACCCTGAAGAAGGTGCTGTCCGTGAACATCTATTGGATCGCATTGCAATTAATTTGAGGTACACCTTCTGGTACAAATTTGGTATTTGACATGGTATAAAAAATCTTCATAGTCCTATAAATATATTCTACTAATAGTTTTGCGACTTGATATGATGATGTTTTCTGGAAGACAAGTATGCAGATCATTATGATAATTATGTCATTTTCATTATCATGTCATAGAGTTTCAGGAGCACTTTTTTGATCTTTGTACACCTGCCAGATCCAACTCTACTCAATTTAATAATAATACAACCCTTCTGCAGTGCAGATCTTCCAATGAGTTTTGAAAACCGTGTTGCAGCAGTGGACATAGCAACACAGTTTCAGGAACATAGTGATGAAGTTCTTAAGACGGTGGATGAAGAAACAGATTTTGCCAAAACACAGGTACAATTTTCATAAAGAAAGATTAATATGATGGTTGGTGTTAAATGTTCAGTAACAGTGGCCCAACATAACCATTTAAACACAAAGAATTATGAGGTGTCAAGAGTCATGGAATAAGGATAAGAACACAAGGATGTTTGTGAAGCAACAAATTGGTGAAACACAAAGAATTATGAGGTGTCAGTGGTACCATGCCAACTCATTCCCAGTTTTGTTAATGTTTAGACCCCCCCCCAAGATAACAAAAAGTACATCGTATTGTGTGGAAGAACACAAGTTGATCCCAAAGAGTGAGGATGGCAGACCCTTTTATAACACTTAGGTGCACCGAATACAAGGAATATTAGTACTTGACCAAGTCTAGGAAGCCCATCACTTTCTGGACCTTCGGTGCTAGGCTGGGTATTTGCCCCATCGACATATAGACAACTATTCTATGCCTGAGCTTGTATTATTTAGTACTTCAAAAATAGTCTTGGTAATGAAGTATTTAAGTGGTGGGTGAAGAAGATTACCATACAGAAGCAAAGGTTTCCTAAAAAGAATACAACAACAACATTCTCATTTCATGCTTTATTTCTACATGCTAACTTCTATTATTGGCGTAGCATCTGAATGGCATTTCATTCTTTGTAGATCATATTGGCTAGGGAATATCTGAAGGATGTTACAATTGGCCGAGAGCAGCTAAAGTACTTGGTTACGGAAGCTGTCCGTGGTGGTTGCCAGGTACTAGTCAGAACACTGTACTAGTGTTAAAAGAATGCTCCAGACTGGTATTTGGACAAGGCTTCCCAAGACTTATTATAAGAGCCTGTTTGGTAATGCTGAAATTGGGAGAATCGGTCGAAAGTGTTGAAGTTGTGACTAAAACAGATGAAATGACTGAATTATGAATTATGAATATATTATATTTAAAATATATTTTATTAGGAAAAAGATCCTGTCCATCCGGATGGACCAGAGGTGCCGTCCGGCCGCCGCCGTTTGGGGCGGTTCCCGGTGAAGTTTTTTAATGAAATTTTTTGTGCATGTTCCTCATCAAGTCTAGTTTATCCACAAAAAATTTCATGTAAAAATTCGATCGGGAAGACATTCAAATGATTTTTGGAAGATAACTGCATTTTATATGTACATTAAGGGTGCAGTTATCTTCCAAAATTCGTTTGACTGCCTTCCCGATCGAATTTTTAGCTGAAATTTGCTGTGGACAAACTAGACTTGATGAGGAACATTCCCAAAAAATTTCATCAAAAAATTTCACCGGGAACCGCCCCAAACGGCGGCGGCCAGACGGCGGATCATGTCCCTCCGGTTAGACAGGATAATTCCTCTATATTATTAATAAAATAAAGAAAAAAATGATATGAACAAAAAGCTAACATAGTCCTTTTTAGCAAATTCAACACAAAAGTAACTTCAAAATTAGTCCTTACTTATTTCAAATTATAAATTTATAATAAAATTCAGCGCGCAAAATTAAAATCTTAGTATTTGGTAAAAGAGTTGGTTGATAAGGCTGATAAACAAAAAAAACCATCGCTAAATGTTACTCTTCACTGTAGTGGACTCTCCACTGCAGTGTAGCATTTGCTACTATGTTTGTGGCTTAAAGACATGCCATATCATTCTATGAGCATGAAAAGTTGTAGCAGTGGATTTTACCTCTGATTTAGCAGTGTTGGAAGTTCCAATGTAGTGGAGAGAAACTTTGCCAATTATAAACTGCCTTATGTAGAAGTTCCAAAGTTAGGAGGATTCTTTAACATTTCTTCGTAGATAAAAAATAGAAAAAGAACATGAAAATGTAAGCCACATTACACAAAATAGTATAGTGGTATAGTGACATTGATGTCATATTGTTAGGATGAACACTATAATAAGTTACAAAACATGTCCTATCACACTGTTCATTTATTAATTGTTATGGATGTATGTTGTAGCTTATATAAAGTAAGTGGGACATTTTTTAACCCCAAATAAAATATTCAGATTTGTTTCATGAAAGGAAAGGCTATGTGTTGAATTGTTACTGAGTTTCTCTTTAATATGGTTAAGTGTCCTTACCTAAAGCATTTGACTGCCATTGGTTTTGAAATTACAGGGACACAGAGCCGAACTTTATGCTGCTCGTGTTGCTAAATGCTTAGCTGCTCTCGAGGGCCGTGACAAAGTCAATGTTGATGACCTGAAGAAAGCTGTAAGTTGTGTTACACTTTTTATTTTCTAGTCATCCCACACTCCCACTTTTACCTCTTACATTCACTCTCCAAAATTGGTGGCACTGTATTTGAGTAATATCTAGTTTATCTACCCTATAAGGCTGTAACCGTATTATTAGTTCTCTCATATCAGAAGAATTGAAATTATTTTGGAGACACATCAACACAAACTTTATCATCAATCTGAGTGGTGTAGTCATTGTCCAGATATTTCAAATTTTATCATTAGTTGTCCTTAACTATATCCATACATGTTCTTGAA